CCCCAAAACCCCAAAACCCCAAAACCCCAAAACCCCAGTAATTCTTCCCGGTATTGAAAATATATGAAATTTGGATAGCTCAAACAAGGATATCGTCACCAATAAGTTAAAAGTGAAAACTTGAATTTAATGGGTAATATAATTAAGATGACTCCGTGACCAAAATTAAATATCCCAGAATCATGAATAATTAACACCATCATACTTCCCTCTATACTTACAGTCTGTCTCGATAAAATTCCTATAAAATGTAATAGTATCATTACAAGTTTTAGAGTATTTCAGCTATAATAGAAATCTGGAGCTAGGTAGCATCTACAGATGCTACCTAGCTCAAAAGTGACCTATCAAGTACCTAAATCTCTGAATACTACTGAAGTAATGTATGAAATCGGGAATTTTTAATCTCAGATTTTCATAATCTTGAACAAAATGTGATGATAATTCTTCCGAATTTGATCCTTGAAGACTATTAGCTCCAAGGAAGCCTAATTTGGCACAATGATTTGAATTTTGAAATAACTTTAATAGCTTCAAGAAAAAGTTGGATTATATAATTCATGAATCCTTTCTTTATGAGAAACGAATTCGGTATTCTTCTTTTCTCTCAAATTGGGTGAGGACTGGTGGAGCGATTGTTTAATGTATTCATACTAAAATCTAAATCTCTTCTCTTTGGCAGTGAATTCTTCCGAAATTGCTGCAAATAAGTCAGGCTTTTGGCTGTGGAGATCAACAAAAATTTACTCTCCCATTAGCAAATCAAATTTGATCTCGTATGAAGCTAATATTTGACTGGAAATTTTTAAAGCAAATTAGTTATGGTGCCCAAAAACTTGAGCGAGAGAGTTGATCTTCGTCAAATATTTGGAAAGATTGGCCTTGGCAGGTTTGAATTTCTTCAAGTTATTCACGAAGATATTTTCATCAGTACAGATTCTTGCTTTTTCTCTCCTTTTAATTATTCTATCCGCTAAGCTGGTGTCTTCCTTATCACACTTGTAGGTCTGGAAGCTGGTATAGAAAAATCTGAAAATTCTTATGAAGTAATCGTTGTTTCACAGCTCATTAAATAAGTTATGTGTGTAAGCTGATCAGGAATTCTTAAAAAGATGGGTAAATTCATAAACTTCTGGATTAATGGTCACTCCTAGGATTTTCTCAGCTCTGGCCATTGACTTATGGTTGATGAGGTATCACAAAATTCTGATCATCTCTCTAGTCTCTTCATCAACTTCAATACCAGATTTTCTTAAAAACTCATTATTAAAATATTGGTAGCCGTGAGCCTTCATTCTATTCCAAAATTTAGGGAAATACTTAAATAGAAGGAAAAGAACAAAATCTTACCTTCGTAGTCAGTCCTTGATCTGCCTCTCGGCTCAGCATCCTTGGATGTTCTTGAGGAGCTTGTAAACGAAGAGGAAAGATGTACAATAATAGTACAGATTCCTCTTATCCTTGTTAATGAATCTTATATAAGAGTACTCTTCTTTGTAATTGCTGGAGAAGAACTTCCGAATAAGTCTTAATAACGATTTATTAATAACATCGTCTCTATCACACAGTGCAGTCTTCCTGGTGCTCGGAGACTTGGCCAAGCATGAAGTTCTAAAGAAGTCTTAGAAATCAGTTCAAAATTTTGGATTTAGCATTTCTGGGAAATAAAATTTAGTATCAAATACCTTTTGGGTTCCATTTCTTGAGGAACTTCTGAGTTGGAAACTGAGATCTGCTTCCAACCTCCCATTACTGGGACATGCATTACATCCATATTGAAGAGGCTGTTATCCACATTGATCTCTATATACTTTGTTAGATCAAAAATTAGCATTTTGACTAAAATTTTCTGGTAATAGAAAAATGCAGAGTTCTTCAAAATTTTCACGGTTTATTTGGAAAATATGCACCCAAGATCACATTCGTTAATATTTCACACGAAATTATATAAAATGGCATATTTATAAATTAACAAGCTATAAGAGGCCCAGTGATGCCGGTGTGCTTTTATGCTCTATTTATTTAGTGCTCCAAATCGTATGCTCATGGCTATGACAGTAAGGAGCAAATAGATTAAGTAATAAAACCTAAATTTGATTCCAATCTTGTGTTATTAAGCCCAGACATGATCTGAGCAAATTACTTCCAAATAATCCGACTAGTTCAAAAATTGTTGTAAACCTATTTTTGTGAATACTTCGTTTGGAAGACTTTCTAAGGACTAGCTATTCATAATATAAAGGGAGAACCTGCATATTTATGAAGAGTTCTTCCTGCCATATCACTTCTTTAAGAGAGCTGTACTACATAATTGCTGAAGGACCTCTTAGTCTCTAAGCTTAAGACAAGTAGGCTCAGCTGAATAATAAGAAACTTGCCGGAAAGAATTCCTGATATCGGCGTAGTCACTAGAGTTGAGAAGGTAGTAAATTTAAAGGATTTGATATTCAGTTTATGTCAGAATATTAATATAAAAGTTACATGTGTGCCGTTCGTCTCAATTATAAAAGTATTAGTAATTTTTGAAGATTTGAAGGCTCTTTAAGACAGCAGCTAACTAAGCTCTGGATCATAAGTGAGCACCTAAATTCTTCTTTGTTGCCAACAAAGCGTAATAGAATTTTATAGTGATAAGTAGGATCCCAAATGGTGTCATAATATTTCTGCTGCAAGACCTACATCAAGCAGCTTCATTGCAGTTTTAAACTTGCACTTTTCGGTGACTATTAGCTTTGATTCTATATAACCATTCAGACTAGCTAAAGTTAAGGAATCTATAGTCACTTTCACTCTTCAGAGAATATTTTCATATATCTATGGAAAGAAGACTGGTAGGATTAATAATAAATTAGGTTATCAAGACATAAACTGTTAGAATATCTGGCAGGAGAGTTTCCATCACAGTGGCATTAGTGGTCCCAGCTCTCCTTACATTTTTGTCAAGGAATCCAAAATTCTCATAAAACTTGTTTTAGAGTCACTCATTTCTAACGTAAAGTTTCAGAATGTCTCCAATTTTCTTTGCCATCCGGCAAAATAAGAGTGAGGAATGTAATAATAAGAATATAATCGCAATTTGCAAAGACCAAGATAAAAGTTGCTGTAAATACTACTTTAAGCTCAGTTAAAACGCCTGCTCATTCAGGGCAAAATAGTAGTTTGCATCTTTATCAGGTAAAGAATTCGCACTAACAGGAAGCAATATTAAAAGTGTCAAACTCTTAGAGCGATCGCCTACAGAAATTAGCACGAATTTATGACTAGGATATGTATGATTTCAGGCAAATTTTCACGGTGATTATAGTGAAAAAGCATTAAAGAAGAAATTCTGAACTTTTGTCACAGTAAAGATTAAAAGTTATTCATGCTTATAGCCAATAATAGGTGATAATAATAATCTCAATGCAATTATGAAGAGAATAGGACATACCTGAACTCCCAGTGCTGAAGAAGAAAGGGATATCATTGTTGAAGAGAGACACTGCATTGCTTTGGTTGTGAACAAATATTGACCTACAAAGTTAGAGTTGAGGTCTTACTGAATCATATGTTAGGCTTGTTCGAAATGTTTTATTATTGTTTGCAACAACGCTAATATATATAGGGGTTTTGGGGTTTTGGGGTTTTGGGG